AGCTGACTTTGCTGCCACGAGGTGACTTATTCTCAGTTAACAGGCAAGCTGTAATTGCCTTGCAGGGGGCCACAGGGCTTGTACATGATGATGGAAAATACCTTGCTATCTGCTGAGGGTGTACAAGGGTTTTTGATTCTTAACACAGTCCCATAATTATGCTGTTTTCACATGATTTGGATTTTCATGCTAGAAAAGATGTTTTGGAGTCACTTTATTTCCTGAAGGTTTTATAAACCATGAAGTGCAAATATTTCACTTCTGAATCTCATCTCTTAAAATTTGCCAGATTTTAATAGAATTCCAGATGAAATTAGATAGTATTTCTGAATCCTTCAGGCTGAACTTATATTTTAAAATCTTTCAGTGACTAAAACTTTCCCTGCACCACCCATATTCTGATAAGATGCCTGCTCGCCTATTGAATCTTACTGATAATCCATCAGGCCTTTCAAGAAGGCTGCTTTAAAGCTCAGAAAATTCACTGGAAAGACTTCTATTAATAAAAAAGGCCTTTAGAGCTGGCCTCAGGACCATTCAGATGCTTCTCTTGCAGACTCTGTATTTCTTCAAAGTGATAAGGAGGGGAAGCATAGCAGGGAACTGCACGGCTGAAAGGATACTCCTGCTGCTTAGATAACGTGCTGACACCAGTAAGTACCACTTTTCCCAACACGAGAGACTGACTCAAGGAGTTTCTGTTCACTGGCTCTCCCAGGGTGCTGTCATCTCTACCACGATGGGTAATTGAAAATACTTTGTAATCAGAAACCAAGCAGATTCTAAAAAAGTCCCAGATTGGAGATAGAGTTAGAAAAAAAGATAAATGAATAGAACGTACACCAGAAGTTTGCACATAAACTATAACTTTTATTGCTCTTCATGACTACTTGGAGGCTAAAGCAAGAAAGTGGAGTATGATACAGCAACAGCATTAAACATCCCAGACACCAAAAGGAGAATCAACAGCAGGACTGGTGCTTGCAAAGGAACATCTCGTGCTGCTCGGTGGGTAGCAGCTTCAGAAGCACATTACAGGCACTTGGTGGTGAAAGGCAGGCCAAGAAGAAGCAAGTCTACAGTCTCTAAGAAAGGAGGAAGAGC